AGAGAGAGAGGAGAGAGAGAGGAGAGACAGAGAGAGAGAGAGAGAGAGAGAGAGAGGGGAGAGAGAGGAGAGACAGAGAGAGAGAGAGAGAGAGACAGAGACAGAGAGAGAGAGAGAGGGAGAGAGAGAGAGAGAGAGAGAGAGAGAGAGAGAGAGAGAGAAAGCTGAACACTTGATACAACCAGACATGGATGATTGCCTATGTTTGGCAGTAAATTCTGTCTCATTTTGATCAAGTTATCAGCAAAGATGGGACTGGTGTCAAAGGGACCGGAGGTGTACATGTAGGATGTCAGTCAGATGTACCCTCGGGGTTGAGAAAACTAAGACCCTGAGTTTTTTCTTGGTGAAGCTCAGAGATCACAATCCCAGTGCAGACTGATGAGACAGGGTTTCTCTGTGTAACCTTGGCTGTCCTTCAGTGGCTACAGTCTGTGGGATCATGGAGTCATGACTGATCAGGGTTTCTGAAAGGGACAGAAACCCTGTGGAGTGGAACAGGGTCAGAAAAATAGCTGAGCCTCCAAGGATTAGGGGCACTGGTAGAGAACTTCCTGGAAGAGTTATGTGGAGACCTGAAGATGGGGGCCGGGGTTGGCTCCCTGGGGAGCAGGCGAGGTGGAGTGCGTTGAATAAGACAGCATCTCTGCCCAGGCTGGAGATGGACAGGTGGCAGAGCTGGCTCTGAAGGGTCCTGTGATGAGCTGGAGGCTGACAGAGGAGTTCCCAGCCCTAGAAGGCCAGGGTGTAGTGGCTTCTTCTTCAGCCTCTATACACTTTCCTTCTTGTTTCTTATATTTTTATATTTTTACTGTGTGCACACCACAGACATGCTCAGTCCTTGGAAGCCTAAGGACCCTGTCACTCCCATGAAGCTGGAATTATGAGCTGCCTGACGTGGGTGCCAGGAACTGTAACAGCATCTGCAAGGGCAGCAAGCCATCTCTCCAGACCCTTTGTTCCTGCTTTTAGAGACAGCACCTGATTGTACTCATTTCCATGTCAGTCTCTCCCTCTCTCTGGCTTCTCAGGTTCCTTCCTGTCCCATGTCCTCTGCCCCCATTCAGTTTCCACCTGTCTCTGCCATCTCTGATTCTTCCTCTGGTGAAGGAAGCGTCCTTCTCCCCACCTTGCCCCAGTCACAGCTGCCCTCTGTCTACTACTGTGTAACCCATTCCCTTGTCCCTCCCTGATGCCTTGGGCTCCTTGACTCCAATTTCCAACCAAGTCTCCTTCCCATCTCCTGCCCTCTGTCACAGTGTCTCCTCAGTCAGTCAGCCTTGGGTGGAGAGTGCTGTGGCACCCTGCACAAACCAGGAGAGGCAGGAATTCTCTGGAAGGTAGACTGGCAGGCTAGGGCAGGTTTGGTGTGGGTGCTGGCCCTGGCACAGGCCCTGGTCAGCACCCCTCACCCTCTTACCCTCCCCAGCCTCTTTCCCTGCCATCCCAAACCTGTGCCACCCCGATCTTCATAGAGGGGAGAAGGAACTTGTTCCCTTCCATTTCCTTCTTCTCCCTTCTCCCCGCTTATTGTCCTTCCCACAAGACAAGATCTCCCCATGTAGCCCAGGCTGTGCTCAACTACAAGGCTGTCAAAAATCAGTGGACTCGGTGCTGGACTATCTTAACAGCATTTGGAGACAGAATTCACATCCCAAATAATCCACCCATTCGGTAAAGTTCATATACTCAGCTCATCTACCACTATGGTCAATTAATTGATTTTCTGTTTTTTTGTTTTGTCTTATGATTTTTTTTTTTAAGATTTATTTATGCTGGGCGGTGGTGGCGCACGCCTTTAATCCCGGCACTCAGGAGGCAGAGGCAGGCAGATCTCTGTGAGCTCGAGACCAGTCTGGTCTACAAGAGCTAGTTCCAGGACAGGCTCCAAAGCTACAGAGAAACCATGTCTCAAAAAAGACTTATATAGCCTTTTGCCTGCATGTATTCCTGCACACCAGAAGAGGGCACCAGATCTTATTACAAATGGCTGTAAACCACCACGTGGTTGCTGGGAATTGAACTCAGGACCTCAGGAAGAGCAGCCAGTACTCTTAACCTCTGAGCCATCTCTCTCCAGCCCCTTCTGTTTAGCTTTGGAGCCTGTCCTGGAACTTTCTCCGTAGACCAGGCTGGCCTTGAATGACAAATCCATCTGCCTCTGCCTCCCGAGTGCTAGAATTAAAGGTGTTTGCCAGCCACATTCCGCCTATCTCGATGGCTCAAACCCATTTTATCCCATTCAAGAATGTGAAATTGGTCTGGGAATGATTCGACACCTTTGATCCTATCATTCTGGAGGCAGATCTCAAGGCCAGCCTGATTTACATTGTAAGTTCCAAGAGAGCCAGGGCTATGTAGAGACCCTGTCTCAAAAGACCAAACCAACAAACAAAAATCAGATCAAAACAAAACCCCATGTGACTGTGGAGAGGCATTTTTGTTTCTTTGGGATTTTGCAATTTTCTTTTTTTTTTTCTTTTTTTTTCTTTTTTTTTTTTTTTTGGTTTTTTGAGACAGGGTTTCCCTGTGGCTTTGGAGGCTGTCCTGGAACTAGCTCTTGTAGACCAGGCTGGTCTCGAACTCACAGAGATCCACCTGTCTCTGCCTCCCAAGTGCTGGGATTAAAGGCGTGCGCCACCAACGCCTGGCAGGATTTTGCAATTTTCTTAACTTTTTTTTTTTTTTGAGATAAGGTTTCTCTATGTAGTCCAGGATAGCCTCAAACTAAGAGGTCCACTTGCCTCTGCCTCCTGAGTACTGGGATTAAAAGTGCACCACCATTTCGAAGCCTGCATTTTGTGATTTTCTTTGCCTGGACTCTCTGTGCAGCTGAGGACTTGAACCCCTGATCCTCCTGCACCCACTTCCTTAATGCTAGGATCACAGGTGCATACTCCCATATCCAGTTTGAGACTTTCCTTGTTAGAGACAGGGTCTCAGACTATAGACCAGCCTAGTCTCCAAATTTCAGATACCCTGCTTTAGCCTTCCCAGTGCTGGGATGGAGAGAGGTGCCAGCACCGCCCACTTCAGGCCACCCCCATGCACAATACCAGCACCAACTTAACAGCAAGAGAAGGAGTCTGGAGAGATACCTTGGGGTTCATGGTGTCCCAGGTAATACTTCAAGCACTCTTCCCCCTAGATCACCCTGGCTGTTTTCGTTTTGTTTTGTTTTTGTTTTTGTTTTTCGAGACAGGGTTTCTCTGTGTAGCTTTGGAGCCTATCCTGGCACTCGCTCTGGAGACCAGGCTGGCCTCGAGCTCACAGAGATCCACCTGCCTCTGCATTGGTTGCATTCCTTGTGAGAGGGATATCATGGTGTATGCTCACACCTGAAGTGTAACAAAATGGTAACACATGCTGAATATCTGGGGGTCCCCTAGGGTTGGGGATGTCACACTGGCCTGCAGAGTTGGATGAGCGACTGGTGCACCTGAGCTGAGTTCCAGAGTTCTTCTCAGACAGACTGAGCAAGACGAAGAAAGGACCCTTGGTGGACAGAGTCCCAAGGACAAGAAACTTGGTAGGGGCTGTGGGTGCACGTTAGCCCTCACCTTCTTTATGATCAGTTGACTTTGTGCAGTGAGCAACTGCTACTTTGGACCCCAGGCTAAACCAATCCTACATTCTCTTTGTCCTTGACTCATAATGAGCCCTCGGGCATGTACTGACACCATTCTTGTCATGGGGACAAGAGTGTTAGCTACTAGAGTGCTTACAGGTTTTCATTGGACTTCACTTTGGTCCTCA